CGCCTTCCTGCCGGGCGGGTCCCGGCCGTGGGTCACGCAGGAGCTTGGCACCTCTGTTTTGCGGGGCAGAGACTCGGTGACTGCGGTGTGAGCTCTCGGGTGGAAGGAACACCCGCTGGACGCGGGCAGGGCTGAGCCTTCACCCCCGGCCCTCACCCCGCTGCCCTTTGTGCTCGCACCGTCGTGACCCAGATCACAAAGCCATCAAATCGTAACATCAGATTTCCAATATATCCTATTATATTCCCCCCAGCTGCTCCCCAAGGTTGTAATAATATTATGTATTATACGATTTTCCAGGAGGTTCTCATTTAAAACCACCTGTACTTCCCCAGATGGGAACCCAGACAGTTGACGTAGCTGCTTAGTTCTTGCTTTTTTACAACACTGCAGGTCTTTGCCTTTTCTGGAAATTCATCAGAAATCAGTTTCATGGTTCCGTGCAGCTCGTCAATGAAAATACGGAGCCATATCACAGAACGTCTTGGGTTGGAAGGGACCTCCAAAGGTCCAGGCCCCCTAAAATAAGCAGGGACATCTCCAACCAGAACAGATTGCTCAGAGCCCCACCAAGCCTGACCCTGACTGTGCCCAGGGGTGGGGCCTCCACCACCGGTCCAGGCAACACTTCCCAGTGATCCAGCACCCTTGTATCAAAGCACTTGTTCCTAATGCCCCATAGCCTGGAGAGGAGAAGACTGAGAGGGCATCTAATTAATGTAATAAGGGCTGGGCATCAAGAAGGAAGGGACAACCTATTTTCACTTGTGCCCTGTGATAGGAGAAGGGGCAATGAATTCAAGCTAGAGCATAGGAAGTTCCACCTCAACATGAGGAAGAACTTCTTTACTGTGAGGGTTACAGAGCACTGGAACAGGCTCCTCAAAGAGGTTGTGGGGTCTCCTCTGGAGACTTTCAAGACTCATCTGGATGCATTTCTGATTTACCTGCCCTAGATTTGGTCCTGCTCTGGCAGGGGAGTTGGACTCGATGATCTCCAGAGGTGCCTTCCAAGCCCTACCATTCTGTGATTCTGTGAACAGGTCTTCCCCAGCCTTCTTATAGGCTCCTTTAAGCTATTGGAAGATCGCTATAAGGTCCCCCCAGAGTCTTCTCTTCTCCAGGCTGATCATGCTCAGTACTGATCTTTCCTGAAGTCCATCAGAAATCCTGCTGTTTAGTGGAGAAAGCAAGTATTTCAAGGGTCTATTTTAAGCTGTTTTTCTCTGGTTAGTAGTTAAGAGGTTAGTATTTGCCATGCTGTTGTGTAACAAAATGTCGTATAGCTGTATTTCTGCATGATCACCTCTATCAGCTAGTATATGTTTACATCAAAGACTTAAATCAAGTTTGTTTGACAAGGTTTATTGTCTTAATTTTGGTGACTTTTGTGTTTTCCTTTACCCCCTCTTCATTTTATGAACTGTGTTTTCTACCAGTTTCTCCTTTGTTTTGCTTTGAGCTGATGTCACACTGGCTAAACTGCAGGTCACGAGGATGTCTGGCTGCCACTTCAGGCAGGCCAAAGGAAAGGCAAAAGCAGTAGGTGCTGGTGCAAAGACTGGTGAATCCTTCTGTTTGAAACTAAGTAACGGAGTGTTCTTGCATTCCAAACCACAGTGCAAAGTAAAAATGCCTTCTATTACACTAAGTGATGAGCCGTTCCAGACACAGCAGCAGATACCTTGCCCAGCTCCTGGGAAGCTGACAGCAGCACAGGCATAACTTTCAAAACAGGAGCAAGGGTTGTTTGTACATACGTTTAGAAAAAGGGATATATAATAAAACACATCAATATACAACATTTCCTTTTGGTCTAAGCCAAAAGAGGCCCTATCCATTTTCACACTGTTGCACTACTCCTTCCATGCTTGATGCAAGACCCTCCCTGCCCACAGGACTACACTACCAAGAGTAACTCTCTTTGCCACCTTCCTCCCTACAAAACTGAGAGGCCTTCAGCTCTATAAGGTACAGGAGCATGGAGTCACGCTCTGACCTGGTGTGGTTCTCTGTTAACTTCCAGTTCCTGGGAAAACCTACATTACTCAGTCAACTAATGTCTTTAAAAAGACAGAGACATCTATACACAACTTTTGTTATCTTCAAAGCCAGCTGCAAGTTTCATACAAACAGGGTCTTGAAAAAGTTGGATTCAGATCTCGTGTGCATTAACTTTAAATAATGATATTCTTTCTCTAGCCTGATTTGCAGATACTGAAATAACTCCATGTGGTAGGCTGAAAACACACGGCCTACAAAAAGGAGACAGGAGAGGAGAAATAGACCTTCGTGTTAATTTAAAAAATTTAAAGCATTAGCTTACTGAAGTGCTTAATGGTGTTATGCAGTGGTACGTTTGAATTAGTACTTTAAGATACCCTTTTCTTTGGAACATCATTTTACATTTAACTTCATATTTGTGTAAGTGAAACTGGATATCTGAGTGCTCCGGTCTATTCTGAAAATACAAAATTAATACCATATTCAGCAAGCCTGACCTTGGAATTTCCTTGTCTTTCTACAGTCTGTTCTATACATGCTGAATTCCTGTACAAGTTCTTACATTTCCAGTCCTTTTTGTCACTTAAATAAATGTGACTATTTCCTGCTCAGGTGAAGTAGGATCTGTTTCCTAGAGCTAGGTGGTCAAGCATTGAGCAGTAGAGGATCCTTTTGAATATTTGAGACGAAACAATATTCTCATCTCCACAGTGTAGCCAAGTTTAAGGTTCCCATCTGCCTGGTTCACTTTCTTCCCTGTACTCAATACTGCAACCCATACAGTTAGAGAAGAGAAGCTAAAGTAAATCTTCCATTTTATTATGTCAATGGTAAAACGGTTATCTCTAATACAGGAAGGATTTCACCCATGAAAGTCATATTGTAAGAGTGAAAAATATAAAAATATATGAGTAGTTGTATAGATTTAGAAATTTATAAGATGTGCAAGAAAAGATTGTTAGGCATTAAAAAACATGAATGCAAGGCCAGGAGATTCAGTCAAAAATTACTGTGTCATGAAAGTTTTAAATCATAGCCTGAAAAATACTGTGAAATCTTAGATCAGCTTTGGGGACTGGCTTTTTCTTCATCATGTCTCACTTTAAATTGAACCCCAAAAGCCAAGCATGTACAGTAAAAGGAAAACACACTTTGACAACCCTATGATTTCACCCCTAATGCACAGTAATATCACAGCCATGATAATTTATGACTCTTAGAGTATAATTTGACATGACACTAAAGAAGTTATTGCTTTTCTGATGACAGAGAAAAATCTATTTATAAATTTGAACTCAATATTGCTGCATTCAGTGGGAAAAAATTCCAACCCCTAAGAAGCAAATAGTCACAATGAACAAGTAGAGAAAATTTGTGCTGTCTCGTACCACTTTGTATCTTGATACACAGTAACAAGTTTTCACTTAATAAAAAGTATGCACACATAGATCTCCGTCCTTTAGATGGATATTTGAAACCCTACTCTGAAAACTTAGTGTTGTTGCATGACAAACACCCCATTTAAAGGGGTGACTGGCACGTGATCTTTCAATCTGACTAGGATCCGGGGACATCCCCCTGTTTCAAATTTGTTATTTGAGATTACTGTTACTGTTATTAATATATCAGGTATTTTGCTCCATGATACTTTACTGGGATTCAAGAGATTCTTGTCTGCTAAATTCCAAAAATCTGGCTTGGCCACGCAGAAACATCAGCTGGAAACCCTCAGAGCATGAAAGTAGGTAATGAGGTATCACACATTGGCAGGCAGAAGTAGCAGAGGGAAGTTTAAACTTCCATTCCTCTTGAAATGGAAGAGATTTGCTTTTCCCTGATTTTTCAGGGTGTTCAGGAAACATCTCCACAGCAATACTTTTGAGGAAGGGGAATTACTGAGATGCTAAATTCAAGCGCTGGAGCGTAATGAGCTTCCTGGAAGATGACATAAGGCCCTGGAGTTGTCAGCAACCAGCAGCATGACCTAATACTAGAAGATGGTGATTTAGCAGGTCCAAGGATCCCATAAAGATATGTCAACATAGAGAAGCTTTTGCAGAGGGGGGCGGCAAGTGAGAAAGAGCTGTAAATCGACGGCAGATAAATTAAAACTGTTACTTACCAGAGTTTCTCATTGAAATTTCTACACAACTGTATGACAGTTATATAGATAAGGTAGAAACTGGTAACTCCATAGATATGGGGGGTTTTTTTCCCCTCAGACAATGAAGTTCTGAAGATGTCAAATATGCAGTGAGTGAGTTCTGTGTCTCTCACAGGCTTTATGAAGTATTGAACTAGCAGAGCTTGAGACATATGTAAACAGTGAAATAAAAAAGGTGATAGTTGTTGTAAGAGCATCGTATTACAGCATACTTAATCATTATCTAGAAGATGGGCTTTCTGAAAACTTGAGGGTTGTAAATAGATCCCCCTGGTCAGGACAGATACAGCAATTTGGCTTGGAACTCTGCCAATATAAACCAAAAATTAACAGTAATGTTAAACTATTCTTGAAAAACATGCTTGGCATTATCAGAGCTTTAGGAAGCAAGATGAGTTATTTGCATTTAATT